CCAAGGGAGGAAAACCCAACCGGGAGGGCAAACATGGAAGGAGGGGGGGATCAAAGGGGGGGGGGGGGGGGGGGATTTTTCATCGTTTGAGCCTTTTTGATTTGTCCGCACAGAGCACACGCCCGACTCCTCGGCCCCAACACCTCCATGTTCAGCGAAGCCTAAAGAGAGGACGGGCTGCCTGCCACCTTGCCAAGCAAAAAAAAAAAAAACAAGACCAGGTTTCTTCAGTACGCTCATCTCTTGGGCACGTTCTCAAAAATGTAACCGTCGGCAGACGTGTGCGTCCACGGGCGGAAACAGAGTGCAAACACCACACACTGATACTACTACACCTACCTGCTGTGCGCTGGTGTGAGAGCTGTTGTAACGTTAACTTTCACCTACCGGTTACCCCCCCCCCGTCCACATCGCGCTTTCGTGGCCATACATACCTCCCGTATAGTAGTGTTGAACCCCCTGTCCCCTCATTTTCTTTTCGGTGTTTTTCCAACTGCCAGCGAAACAACAGGACACAAGTCAGTTCTCGTCACCTAGTAAACCAATCGTCATGGAACCACTTCGAGCGTGTGCTCCATTGCGATATCTCGGGGCGTGACAGTTGTGTTAGGCATGGTTGCTGTGTGTGGGAAGACCTTCGTGCCGGCGTGGAATCCAAATCGTGCTCTTTGGCCCGGGCAATCGGGCCGCATCGACAGGCGAAAAAGCCAAACCGGATTTCACATCGCCACAATGCTCTCGCCACATACACCACCCCATGCCCAACACAACCATCACGCCCAGAGACACCACAATGGGGCACACGCTCGAAGTGGGGCGATGGCGATCGGCGCCCTAGGTTTCGAGAACTAATGTGGTGCTGTGCTCACATTGCTGGAAGTTGAACGCGGCGGAAAAAAAGAAAACATGCGCGACAGCAATACATAGCCTTACAGAGAGTCCAGCGGCATCGAGCCCAGATGCCGTCGCCTGCTGTGCGTGTGTCTCGCCTGTTATGCGTACGCTGTCTGCTGTGCGTGTGTTGTCTGCTGCAATCCGCTGTGTGTTCCTAAAAAAAAAAAAAGAGCATCTGCTGACGCCTGTATTCTAAAATCAAGTCATGTACTCTAAACCTAGATTAAGCGAACAGACTGTACAAGCTCTTTTGTCTGGATGGAACCTCTATTGCGCTGTCTCCTCAAGCAAGATTAGAAATCTCGCTTCGCTCGAATAAACAACAACAACCACATCCAGCTCTGTTTCCTCTGCTGGTGGCAATATTTTCACGTTTACCTCGAAGGCCTCCGGGCGCTGCGGGGGGTGCTCGTCCGCCGCCTGCCCGCAAAGCTTCAGGAACACGGGCGCGTACGACAAGAAGGAGGGCGTGGACACGAACGACTCCGTGGACGCCTGCGCGTGGACCCACTTGAGGACCCCGAGGCTGACCAGCGGGTGCTCGGCAAACGGTCGAAGCCGCCCCTGAAGGGAGGCGAGCTGTGACGTCTCGAAACACTCCCCGGCCGCCTTGAACCGAGCAAAAACAAACAGTGAGAAAATTAGAGCCGAGAGCGAGGGGTGGCCGCGGGGGGGGGGGGGGGGGGGGGGGTTTCCCCCCCCGGCCGGGGCCCGGGGGCCCCCCAACCCCCCTTACTTTTCAGGCCGGGGGCCCCCTTTTAAAAAAAAAAATTCCGGATTTTGGGGTTCACCCAACCTTTGGGTTTCCCCGGTTTCCCGGGGAAGGGGGGGGGGTTTTTAAGGGGAACCCCCAAAACCCAATTTAAAAACCACCCCCGGGTTTTTTTACCCCCAAACCCCGGGGGACCGGGTTCCACCCAAAAAAAACCCCCCACCCCCTGGGGGGGGGGGGGGGAAGCTCCCCCGGGTTCCCAAAGGGTTTTAACCCTTTTTCCCCCCCCCCCAAAAAAACCCCCCTTTTGGGGGGGGCCCTTTTTTTTGGGGGCCCGGGGGGGCCCCCCCCCCCAACCCGCGT